GTGGGGTGGGGGTGGGGCGGCTGAACGGGGACGGAGTTTAGGGGCGCAAGTGGGGCCTAGGGGTAGTTCTTGAGCCCCTTTCCCAGAATCGGTGACTTTTAAGTGATGGGAAGAGCCTTAGAAATAATTGCCTTTTTGGACGTTTACTATGTTACTATGTGTCAGGCACTGCCCCTCTTCTACTTTATTTAATACTAAATCCTGTGGGGCAGATACTATTAATACACATTTTACACGTAGGGAATCCACCTGGGAGGCACAGAGAGGTTAAGTAACTTGCCTGAGATCACAGAGCTGTAACAGAGATGGAATTCCAGGAAAGGAATCTTGACTCCAAAATCAATAGGTGAAACTACCACTATATAGCCTTCCAGTGTATTCCAGAACTGCTCAGATGAGAAACAGGCCAGAGGTGAGATGAACTAGATATCGTTATTCAAGCGTCTAACACATTTCCTGCCACAGTGTCCATCCTTGTAAAGGTTCCTTCTTGCCTTTTTCTCTTGAAGACCTGTTGACTTGGGTTACCCCCCTCACCCCCCAAGCAGAGGTCTCCCAACTTCAAGGTTCTTTCTACCAACTCCCCCAGTTAATTCTGCCTTTCCTCCAAAGTCTGGGCTCCTTGGATGGCTTCACTCTCTCCTTGCTCCTTGGGCATTGAGAATCAGACCAGCCAGCCCTGGTTGAGCTATGCTGAGCCTGAAGCTCTACTTGAAGGCAGAAGGAGCTTAGGAGGAACCTGAGTCCCCAGAGATTTGGTGGGATCGGAGCCTCCTAGGCTGCTAAGGGCAGCACCCAGCCCAGGGGCTGTGACCTGGGAATGCTTGATGAGTCAGAGTCCCCTGACCTAAGAATGCTGACTCTCCCTCCATCTTACCTGCTCAGAGTTTGCCAGACCATCCTGTTCCTGGTAATGACCTCTTTTCTCTGAGCTATACTTCTCTTTTCTGGTATAGTCCTCTTCCCACTTACCCCTCTCAAGCGAAGGAAGTTGTGATATTTGGGAGGAGGAAAACAAATGGAACCACGTGAACTTGTCTTATAACCAGAGAAAGCTCACATTGTTCCCAGTTTGTAGCCTGTGTGTGTGAGCCAGTCCCTGGCCTGACATGCACTTTTGATGCCATTGGTAACACATCTCCAGGGACTGTTTTTCTTACTCTCTCAGTGAGACTTTTTTGGGACAAGAATGATTCTGTCCTGTTGGGCCTCCTACCTGGCTTAGGCTCCGTGCTGCTGAGTAATGGTGTGCCTTGTTTCAGAAAATGCCACAGCCTCATAGCTGAAAGAAAAAAGTGTATACAGTAATTAAAGTTTAAATTAGTGTTGAAAATTTCACCTGTACAATAGTCAGCCTTACTCTTCAAGTCGTGACCCCCTTGAGAGTGATGAAAGTTGTAGATTTCCCCAGAAAAATGCATGTACAGAGTCGTCTTTGGGGCTTCAGGAACTGACGTCCCCACCGACCCAGCTTAAGACCCCAGGTTTAAAGGAGCCCTGATGTCAGCCCTTCTGTAAAGTGTAGTCATGTCTTAGGATGTTTTTGTGTTAGGATTAAAAAACAAACCAACAAAAACAGAATACCTGTCAGGAGAGTTAACACAGATAATCTAACCTGATACGAGGGACTGTTGTGTCACCAGATCCCCGGGGCTCTTTTGCTGGGCTGGCCGTTCGGGCTGGATAAGTGGGGTCGGGGAATTCTGTAGAACCCCAGCTTGCTCATCTCCATGGCTATGGTAATACTTTCCTTGCAGCAATGTTGAAACTGTTAAAAGGGATGACTTGCCGGGTACCAGCTTAGCAGGAGGCTCCAGTCCCTGGGGTAATAGATCATGGCTGCAGACGGTCTCATCAGGCCCTTTCCTTTCTCGTCACAGCATCCTCATGTCCTATGAGCATGTGGAACTTACATTCAATGACATGAAGAATGTGCCAGAGGCCTTCAAAGGGACCAAGAAAGGGACCGTCTACCTTACCCCTTACCGGGTGAGTTGCACAGCACAGTGGTTGGTTTGGAGGCAGGGCTCCTGCAGGCTAATGTGAGTCTTAAGTCCAGCCTCAGTCTTGTGAGTCTGTGGCCTCTGAACCAGGTGAACATTAGTTCATCACTCCTGGTGTGTCTCTGCCACGTGCTTCTGAAGTCTAGAACCACCAGGCCATTTGCACAGCTGAACTGGCTGTTGGGCAGTGAATTCTGCAGGTTCCAGAGCTGTTGCTGCAAAGTCTCTGTGTATCTGGATGCAGCTGCTGGGATGACCTGGGCCTGGAGGGGAGAGGTTTTTATTTTTATTTCTGTAAGAGTAGCCTACAAGGCCTTTTGCACATCTAGATGGTAAATATGGTAAACAAGATACAGTAGCATGACCACAGTCTCCAGACTGGGCAGAGAGCCCAGCAAAACCCTGCAGAGCAAGAAACTCCAGACTGCACAATGGGACTTGACTGAGAGTTACCCAGGCAGACGCCGAGAGACTTCCAAAGAAATGGAGCTTGGTATTCTTGGGAAAGGGTCTGTAGTACCCAAGAGTTAGACTCCACTGGTCCGAAGAGGAGCATTTCTTCAAGTGTTAATCACCAAAACAGAGAGGCTCAAAACCCATTTCTGGTGGCTCAAGTGGCATCCTTTTTTTTTTTTTTTTTTTT